AACGCAGACCTCGAACAGAGGATCAGTAATTTCATGGCCGCCGCTAAGAAGGTTGGCTTCCGTGTGATCGGCAGCAAAACCGATGGCATCGGGTCTATGGCTGTGCTCTTCAGACGCATTGTCACAAAACTGACAAATATTCCTCTGGAGAAGAATGTGATCGAAATCAACGACAAGAACAACGAATGGTTTGATTCGATTAAAGAGCGTCTTCTCATCAAACGGGAGGACGAGAAGAATGACGAACACATCTGGCTATTGGCCAGCGATAGCTCACTCAACGGTGTGTTGGGTCTCTTGAATTGTCTTCGTCTAGAGCCCGGAGGCGATAGTCTTCGCTGTATATTTGATTGCGACAAACGGATCAAAATGCCTCTCGATTTCAACGAAAGTCCTTTCTATGATATTCTCACCAATGATTTGGTGGTGAATGTACTCAAAGACGGACATAACGGCAGTTTCAGACACTATAGTCTGCCCCGCGATTACGATAAGGTCCAGACCAGCGATTACTTCTTGAATATCGGACAGAATAGAGATCTCTCATCACTTCAATGGTTCGACTCGAAGAATTTGGTGCCAAAAGCCACGTATTATGACATTAATAACAGGAAATGCAAACAAATTCGTTGTAATATTTATAGCTCTGGACTCAACTTCAGAGACGTTATGTTAGCCACAGGTTTGCCATTTATTCACTCAATTCAACGCCTGATATTGTTTTAATTTTTACAAAATTGATTAACATTTTTCAATTGAATGATAGGCCGAATAGTATCGGGTCCTCAGAGTTTGTTCACCGATTGTCTGCTGGGCTTTGAGTTCGCCGGCCGTCGCACTGATGACGGCAAAAGAGTTTGCGGTTTTGATTTGAGCCGTTGTTTCGCCACTTTTGTGGACTCAATCGAGGAGTTTATATCTCCGATTCCCGACCACTGGTCAATGGACGACGCGGTGACCATTCTGTCCACTTATAGCACCGTTTGGTACGGTTTGATAGAAAGGGCAAAATTGCAGAAATGTAAGTGATTTTGTGAACATATTTATATTTTTAATTGTTATCTAATCACAATTTATTGCATTAACTATCAGTCGAAAGCATTTTGATCCACTCGGGAGCGGGAGGTGTGGGTCAGGCGTCCATAACTGTGTGTCAGTACTATAAATGTGATATTTATGTAACGGTCGGCACCGAAGATAAGAAACAGTTTTTGATGAAAGAATACAATATTCCGGAGAACAGAATATTTAGCTCAAGAGACACTCAATTCAAATTCAGGATCAAAGCACTGACTAAAGGAAAGGGTGTGGATCTGGTGCTCAACTCACTCGCCGGCGATAAACTGGAGGCCAGTTATGAATGCGTTGCCGATTGCGGCCGCTTTGTGGAGATCGGCAAATATGACCTCCAAATGAACAAACAGTTGGGAATGTTTTCATTCCTCAGAGATATCTCATTCATCGGCGTATCAGTCGATAGGAAACTGTTTTTAGTTCCGGGATTTGCCAAACAGTTCTTCGATTGGATGCACGAGAACTCCAACAACGGAATGATTAAACCAATCAATAGAACCGTCTTTAAGGCCTCGGAGGCGGAGAAGGCGTTCAGATATATGACAACCGGTAAACACATGGGAAAGATTGTGGTGAAGATGAGAGAGGAGGAGAACTCTGAGATGGCACTCAAGGGCTATAATCCATCGCAGAAGTTGACGGCCACCACAAAGACGTACTTCGATCCGCATAAGGTGTACGTAATCACCGGTGGTTTGGGTGGCTTTGGTCTGGAACTGCTTCATTGGATGATCTTCTTGGGCGCCCGTAATTTCGTGCTGACCTCGCGTTTCGGTGTCCGAAATAAGTACCAGAAGTTTATTTTGGATCGAATCAAGTCTTTGGGCAAAAAGTTTGAAATGTTTAAACCAAATATCGTTGTCTCCACTCAAGACACCAACACATGGGAGGGAACGAAAGCCATGTTCGCCGAAGCGGAACAGTTGGGAGCCATCGGCGGTGTCTTCCACTTGGCTCTAGTGCTCAACGATTGTCTCATCGAAAACCAAACGTACGACAAGTTTGAAGAGACCGTCGACTCGAAAGTGAAGAGTTTCCAGAACTTTGACAAATTGTCGCGCGAGTCGGCCCTCAGTTTGGACTACTTTGTGGTCTTCTCGTCCGTCAGTTGTGGCAAAGGAAACGCGGGTCAAGTGAACTACGGGTTCGCCAACTCTATATGTGAGCGCATTTGCGAACAGAGACGCAAAGACGGTTTGCACGGTCTGGCCATCCAATGGGGACCTATCGGTGATGTGGGAGTCCTGTCCACCACTGAGATCAACGCCAGTCTCTCTGGTATTGTTAAACAGCGCATCAATTCATGTCTCGATGTTTTGGACAAATTCTTGCAAACACCACATTCTGTGGTCTCGTGTGTCGTAAGTGTCTATAAATAACGACATAATTATTAAATTTATTAATTAATGTATTTATTTTCACCACTCAATAGGTAAGAGCCGAGCGCTCAACGATGTCGGGCACTAAAGAGGCCCGAATTGTGAGTCAAATTTGGTTGGCATTGGGTATCGACCCGAAGACAACTCCCGATCACTTGACTCTCGGGGAGATCGGTATGGAGTCTATGTTTGCGGTTGAGTTACAGCAGGGGTTGGAAAGAGATTACGACATCAAAGTGTCGTTGAATGACATCAAATCAGTGACCGTTAAACTGATGAAAGACTTCGAGGCCGGAAAAGTGGAAGAATTGAGAGCCTTCTCCGAAGAGATCAAGAATTGTCGCTCGAAGTTGAGTAAAATCAAGTTTATTATCCCCACAGACGTCACCACAAGACTTAATAGTGTGAAGACTGGAGTTCCGGTCTATTTCTTGCCTCCACTCGAAGGCATATTCGCATCGCTGGAAGGGTTGGCCGATAAGATCGACAGACCAGCCATTGGTCTCAATTGGACCCGAGATATGGAGAAATTGGGTTCACTTAAAGAGATCGCCAAATATTATACGGATTTATTGAAACAATTGCATCCGAAGGGCGGTTACGATATCGTCGGCCACTTCTATGGGGCGCTCATTGCGATGAAGATGTTGAAGAAGGCGCCCATCGGTAAAGCGGTTATCATTGATATGTTGTCTGAGATAAAGATGGACGAAGAGATGCTTTCAGACGACTATCTGCTGGAATTGATCGCTAAATTCATATCAAAAGATTTGCCAAAACCACTGAAGGATAAGATATCGCGCGACATGAATGGTAAGCACGACGTGTCGGGAAAGTTGGCCAAACTTAGCGATGAGGTGAAGGACTTTGTGGGCAAATCGCTGGTCAGCAAAGACTTGGAGGAGATTCTGATGAATTCGTTCACGAGAGCCAAACTCTTCACTTCGTATCGATTGAATATGAAGAATAAATTCAAACAAATTAAGCTGAATGTCGGCCGAAAGTATCTGGAAATGAAGGGTAAAGTGCTTATCATTAAACCGTTTGATTACGTCGAGGACGAAGTGACTGATATGAATGCTATATCCGATCGCATCAGAGACTCATATTTTCTGCCCGAAAAGGTAATGGTTTTTTGAATTGTTGTTAATTTTTGTGTTGAAATGATTACTAAACTATGATTTTTGTGTTGAAAACAGGGTTTGGAAGGAAAGCTCAACTTCGAGAAGATTGAGGCGAATGGAGACGATATGTCTAATCAAACGTTTGATAGAATCGCCGATTCTATTAATCAGTATTTATCTAAAAAATAGTTGTCATCAGAATTTTGTAAAGAAATCGTTTGTTGTTTTCGACTCAGTTTTTTAGCTTAAAAATAAGTAAATTTAATTATATTTTATTTTATATACATTTTTATAAGAATTACTCTTTTCTATTGGAGATCATTTGCATTATATATATAAATATATTTTTATATTTTGTTTATTCATTGGTTTGGGGTTTATATATATTATGCCTTGTTTTTTATCCAAATAATGGCCAACAAATGTACGCCAATTGTTACCAATGTTCACATTTTAGGCCTATTTTTAAGATCATTAGAATAAATAAATAAACATTTGGAAAATGTATTGAAACTTCAATAAAACTTTTTAAAAATAAGAAATTGTATTTTTATTATAATTCATGCACTAAACAACAGTTAAATTTATTTAATATCTGACTTAATGTTTAAATTTTATACAACTTAAATCTAATTAAATCTTGGAAAATAATAGTCTTAAAACAACTAAAATGGAAAATTTAGTTTTAATATTTATAATTTTAATGTTAATACTAATAGGTAATCAAAGTAACTATAATTATTCACTTATATTAATTATATTTAAATCTTTAAATATGTTATGAATTTCAGGACAAACAAATGGACTGTTTGTAAAAGTAGGCAATTATAGCGATTATGAAGACTATGGAGTGAATGACAGGAAATGTGGGCTCAGATTTTTGCCCGAAGTTTATAACATTACTTCTGATCCTAAATGCTTTCTCAGTGACTATAACAAGACAATTGAGATAGACGTTCAATATTACTATAAACCCGATGTAGTGGACAGTCGTATAGGGTTTGGTGCGGACATTGAGTACGGAGAGGCCCCGTGGGCTGTATTCTTGGAATTCCACAATTTTGTTGGCTTTACTAAAGGAAGTTGTAGTGGAGTATTGGTCACCAGATTATGGGTCTTAACAGCCGCTCATTGTTTTCTGTAAATCAATGCCTAAATTAAATGTCAGATTAAGGATAACTATTTGAAGTTGTATGCAATAGCGGTCGTAAACATTACCGATTACTTGTGAAAGGGGGCAGAGATCCTGACAAACCGATTGAAAAGAGGTATAAGGATGTGGTTATTATTCATCTGCTGATATTCCGTCTGTTTCTACTGAACATACTGAACCGAAACCAATCTGAACACAGCGGCAAAGGCGCAGCCGTTGTGTTATCTGAAATAGAGTATTTGTGATATACAGACGGTTTACCGCCTGAAATCAATAATATGACAGAATTGGCTACACTTTATGGATACGGGTTTATCAATAAGTCTGGAAAAACTCCAAAAGTGTTACAAAGAGGAGAATTTATTGTTCAAAAAGAAAGTAATTGTATTGATAGTGAATTTGGAAAAATTTGTTCACAAAGATTATTTAGTAACAAACCATCCAATAAATCTATGGCTTGCCAGGTATGTCTTAAATTAAGACTCTTCATTATGTTTCAACATGTTTACTCTCTCTCTCTCTCTCTCTCTCTCTCTCTCTTTCTTTCTTTCTTTCTTTCTTTCTTTCTTTCTCTCGTTCTAATCAAAGGGTGATTCGGGTGGAGGTTTGGTTCAGTACACCGATAATTTAGGCATCCGAGCCATACATGTGGGCACATGTTATTTCGGCGACCCTGGTACTTGTGGTAGTACTGCCACATATTTTCTCTCCACTTCACTGAATGTTAACTGGATTTTAGAGACCATTAAAAACAATACGACTATTCCTTGGGCTTAATTAGATAAAAAAAATATAAATTATAACTTAAATATTATGTAAAAAGTCATATATAAAATAAAATTTACAATGTATAATAAATAACATGGTATAATATATTCTACTGATTAATATAATCGACATTTAATATACTGTCAATTAGTAAATTTGATAAACATAAAATTAATGTTAATTATTGGCAATAGTATCGCGAATCCATTGAATGTAATCAAAAACGGGAACCCATAGGGATTGCGTTAGATTATTGTCACATTCATTTGAGCCCTTAAAATATGCGTTAATTCCTATCAATACGGCTCTCGTTTTCTCTTTGTCGATATACTGGACTAAACCGCCACCGGAGTCACCCTTTGGTCAAACAATTTACAAACAAATGAAAAATTGTATTTATTGTTCAAATAACAGTTAGAGTTAAAGCAAACACATGCATACCTTACAGCCACGAGCGGTCTGTTGTTTCCTATTATATAAACTGCAATACAATTGACCGCACTTTTGGACCACAAACTCTCCGCGTTGTAAGACATTAGCCTCTCGTTCCTCCCCTGGCTTTGAGTGCATTAAACCCCAGCCAAACATAACGGCCGACACATTGACATTACCCACAATGGGTTGGGATGCGGGCAAACAAATTGTTTGGGCCTTATATTGAAACAAATTGTAAGTATCCGTAAAATTGATTTGTCGATTGAGTTTATAGAGTGCGATATCGTGTCGACGATTTCCCTTCAGATACCGGGGCTCTCTGTGAACACTGTCCACCCATACGGTCTGTCCGCCACCCGAACGCAAGTTATTGCCCGCGAATATACGGGTTCGGGGAAAGTGATCCGATTTTCTAGTTTTACTTTTGGCAAATCAATTATGAATTACATATAATTGTGATTTTTAATACATTTTAAGTGTAATTTACTTATAATTACAATGCGCTGCTGTTATAATCCATAGGCTATTAATTATATTTCCGGTACAATCATAAATATATGTAGATTTAGGTGAATCTGATTTAATATATACAGTCCATGGTGATTCTCCCACCACAACATTTCTGCCGCCATATATTCTGCTTATATTTGCGCTCAGATCTAATGGATTAGCGATAAAGTCGACGACAATCCTTGTGGACGAGACATGGTTTTGGAAACACTGTTTTGGGTATTGAATTACAAGACTATTTGATACATATCTTAGTCCACAATCTCTACCCGTAATGTCCGTGTGATTGCCAATTGTGATACACATTACGCTAATTACTAAATTCATTATAAAATTTTAAGTTTTGTTAAATTTAAATATAAAAGTTAACGTAATTTTTCTAAAATTTATTAAATGACTTTACTTTTGCTAATAAATAATAATGTTTTACACAAAAACATATCAACTAAAAATTATTATTCAAGTGACTAATTTTCAGTTTTAAATCAGAGATTTAATTAAGTTGATGATTAATTACAATATTTAATTCAAAATAGAGTAAATTTACGAATTGAGCATTGTTTAAAAAATGAACTCGCACTAATTTAGTAAGTATTGTGACGATATATCAATTTTGATATTTTATTAAACCTATTCTAACTTTTTTATACGGATTCACATCTCCGAGGATTTGAATCAATCGCACTGTCAGTATATTAAGTTTGATTTCATTGACGGCACCGAAATAGTTATCAAATCAATGCTAAAATTGTTACCAAAAACAGTAACAATTGATTTGAATGGAAAACAAGTTTTTGTAAGTAATGAATCAAAAAAAATAAATGTCAAAAATTCTGACTTTAAAAGTATACTAAAAGTGTTTCAAAAGCAATCATAGATTTAATAAATCATTTTTGTTTTAATAACGAATTTATTTAAAACAATTTATAAATCAAATGAAGTGAATTAATACTCAATAAAAAATAAATTAAAAGTATATTTAAAAATTGTAATCAATTATGAATCAATAATGAAATGTTTTTTGAATGAGTTTTATGGCTATCAACGGTATATTAGATCCGTTTGTTTCTCACAAAGTCTTTAATCGTCACTTGAATGACAAGAAAGACAGAGAAAGCGATGATAACAACGGCACAGAATGTGGACAAAAGCCAATAGATATAACCCATGGAANTTAATCGTCACTTGAATGACAAGAAAGACAGAGAAAGCGATGATAACAACGGCACAGAATGTGGACAAAAGCCAATAGATATAACCCATGGAATCGTTTTCCATATAAAGACAAAACACAATCCAAGACAACGGAAACAATCGCATTATAATCAGAGACACTATTCAACAGTTATAACAATTAATACAATTGTAATGATAATTGTAATTACAATTATTGTAATGATGGTAAAAACACTTATGATAACTCACTTATGGTAATAACACTATTAATTCTATAGGTTTTACTCGCAGACAATCCCAACAAAAGCAAGAGTTGTCTGATGTGGAGGAATATGTTGGAGATCTCGACCACGAGTGCAATCATACAGTAGCCGATGAACTGTTTGTGATAAGTGCTGAAAGACAGACACGAGATGGTGAGGATGTGGTGGACTATGATCTCCAGCCGTCCCTTATATGAGAGATTCAATATCGAGAGCTGAATGTCGTAAACGAAATACCCGTTTGAAAAACACAGCGCGAAGTAAGACATCTCTGAATACGAGTCCATCATATCTAAGGCGAGTCTCGGCTCTANCAATATCGAGAGCTGAATGTCGTAAACGAAATACCCGTTTGAAAAACACAGCGCGAAGTAAGACATCTCTGAATACGAGTCCATCATATCTAAGGCGAGTCTCGGCTCTAAAAACAGACTTTCATTCAAAACAAACCATTCAATCGATTAGTGATTTAGTCATCAAAAGACACAACACTTGCGCTAAAAGTCCCCAAAAGGCGGACACAAGAGAGTGTGTGAACGACACCATATGATTCCTCCACTTCCAGAACAGGTACTCATCGGTGATCACAGTTTGCGGCCCGTATTGAAAGTGCTTCAGCAACGAGTTGTAGACACTCAGACATATGCATGTGATGCCAGCCATGTATATACCCTGATGTTTGTCTGTATCAACCCATCCATACATTGTCTCAAATCAATGGATCAATTAATCAATCAATTAATCACTTTCTGTCGTTTTGTTTGAATTTCAAAACTTTTTAACAGTTGTTTGAAATGTATTTTCTATACTCTATTCCCCTATAAGTGATGTCTTTCGTCGAGACTTAAACCCATTGTATTGTTGTGTGAATGCAAACAATGTCTTCAATTTGAATCCATATTACAAACTAAATTCAAATCAAATTTAATCAAAGTTTTAATCATTAAAATAAACAATAAAAAAAAGTTACAATTAATGAACAGAAATAGTGAACGCAATACAAGTGCTGACCTCTCGTTACTCTCTATAACACTATTTCAACACAGAGTAAAAGCTCTCACTTTTCATGCATTCAATTATAACTGTAATTAAAAGTTTAACTTTTATTACAATTAACTTTGAGTTTAATCAAACAAATGACAATTAACACAATATTACATAATAACTACATTTAACAACAAATCTTAAGTAATATACAATAGAGGGGCAGATGTAGTGAAGTGGGCGGGGGTTGGGGTACCGGAGTTGGGGTCAATGTGTGCATAACGTAACGATTATAAGGGGGAGAGTTGGGGGGCAATAGAGGGGGAGTAGAGGGGGTCTAACGGTATAAACGTGTGATAAAGCGATAGTGGTTTGTGTTGACACGTGTTTGTTGTGATCACTTCTTCAGTGTCTGACTTACCACCGATTGTCTGCAATGTCTTCCGATTTACGTATATTAGTGTCTAATAAGATCTCATCCGTCGACCAATCGCTGGACTACTGGTGCGAAATACCTCTGCGGACGAAGACTATCGCCGACTTGAAGGCAGTGTTGGCCGCAAACGATCGGTTGTCCGCCAAAGACGTGGATCTCTTCCTAAGAGGC